AGTAACAGAAATAAAAGAGATGCAGAGAGATTATCTCTTTCTCCACGTCTCTACCCAAGAGAATCCAGCTGACATGTTGTCACGTGGTGTCCCACTCAAGAAATTTGTGGATAATAAATTATAGCTCCACGGACCGAACTGGCAGAAATATGTTGTGTAAATACTGCAGACACGACAGAAATAGTCATTGATGGATCTAAATACTCATCTTTGGGTAAACTCTTAAGAGTTACAGCTCTTGTCTTTAAATTCATTAAAGGAATAAAACCTGATTATGAATGTCCTGAACCCATTAAATACTGGGTGAAACTAATACAGAAAGATGTTTTCTCTACAGAATATAAATTTCTGGAAACACAAAGTAAATCCCCAAAGAAACCTGTAATGATTAATTCTTTAGGACTTTATCTCGACTCAGAAAAGATTATAAGATGTCGAGGAAGAATTCATAATTCTTCACTACCTAAAGAAGCCATACATCTAATATTGTGCCCCAAGAATCATTGGCTAAATAAACTGAGGTGCAAAACGCCAACAGTAACGTGTTACATAGTGGGGTAGCTGACACACTTTGTCATATACGGCAATCCTACTGGATACCTCAAGGTCGACAAAGTGTGAAAAAACAAATAAAGGACTGTATTACTTGTCGAGTATGTCAGTATCCAGGTCCACCTCCATATCCCTCTGAAAGAGTTTGTCATATCACTCAATTTGAGGTGACAGGTGTAGATTACAGTGGACCAATAATTTTAACCAAAACAGTTGACAAAGTTCCCATCAAGGTGTACATCTGTTTGTTCACTTGTGCTACGACTAGAGCAGTACATCTAGAAGTAGCCACTGACATGTCTGCTGAAACCTTTATCAAATTATTCAGAAGGTTTGCAGCCAGAAGGGCATGTCCCAGACTGATGATTTCAGATAATGCAACGAACTTTGTTGCTGGTGCTGCTTATATAAGCCAGATCTTTGATCAACCAGAAGTACAACAGATGCTGAATCAACGCAGTTGTCGTTGGAGATAAATTCCTCTTAAATCTCCATGGCACAGCGGATTTTATGAAAGAATGATCGGCATTGAAGAATTCCGTATATTCGTGACTGAAATAGAGAATAGAGTCAACAACAGACCTCTAACTTATGTTACTGATGATCTGGACAATTTAGAAGTGTTAAGTCCATCTCATTTACTCCATGGAAGAAGGCTCGAGCCTGTTCCTCCCATGAATGATAAAGAAATCATAGAGGATCCTACTTATTTCGAACCTGAGCAACTCAGACATAAATTCAAACACCTTAATGAAGTGATTGAACGTTGGGAGAAAATTTGGCTAGAAGGCTATCTCACCTAATTGAGAGAACACTTCTATGGAACTGGTGTTCCTGAAAATCAAAAGTCCTTAAAAACTGGTGACATAGCGATTATTGACAATGATGGTCCAAGGTCCCAATGGCCTCTTGGAAAAATTTTGACCATATATCCTTATGCAAATGGAATTATCAGGACAGTTGATGTTTTAATCAAAGGTGTAGTGAATAAGTGGACAATAAATAGAATTACACAGTGTTGAAAATAAAATTAGTGATTCTCCAGAAACCACACAGACTAAAGATGTTCAGAAAAGACAAGCAGCAGTGGTGGCGAGTGAGAAAATCAAATTAATGTTAAGTGATGAATAGTTTACCTGCGGTGAACCTCTGCCGCCCCCCAGTGTGGAGAAATTTTCTCCAGGAGGGGGTATCAGCCCCCTTCACCCCCTTCAGCCCCTTTCAGCCTTGAGGGGCCCAGCCCTCTCAAAAGGAGCAAGCATCTTGTTTACTGCTACAGCAAGTAATTGATCCCAGATGCAGTATGAGTATGCGACATGGTCAAGCGACCGGCGCTCATTGCAAAGTCCAGTGTTGCAAAGTGTAGTTTAAAAAAAGTCAGTCCATCTCTTACCCTAGCAAGACAATTAAGGAAAATCCTGCTCCCATTTTATTACCATGGTAAAGATAGTGTACAGTGTTGTCTATGCTTAAGACAGCAAGAATCAAGCATTCTGCTTTGCTTCATGGAGGAAATTTGGCAAGGAAGCAAAAAGTACTAGGTCAGTTAGGTAAGACACATATGCAACATTTAGGTATCTTTATTTCGAAACGTTTCGCCTACACAGTAGGCTTCTTTAGTAGAGTACAGAAAAGTTGATAGAAGCATAAGATGCTTGAAGTATCTTCTGCTTCTATCAACTTTTCTGTACTCGACTGAAGAAGCCTACTGTGTAGCCGAAACGTTTCGAAATAAAGATACCTAAATGTTGCATATGTGTCTTACCTAACAACCTGTCGGTATTTTATACAATTTTAATGTTCACAGTACTAGGTCAGCTTTTCCTTTATGTTCGAAGGGCATTGTAGCGGCATAGGACGCTGTGAGGTCAGATTACTTTTGACTCTCCTGAGAGTCACACTGATGCCAGGATAACCAACAAAGAACACTGATCCATGCATTAGCGTGAACAAAGTGTCTCACAAACACGATAAACACTTACAGAGAAGTGTGATCAGCTTCTTTAGTGACATTATGGTGTGAACAATTATTGATGAACACTTGTAACAACAAGTGTTGCGATCCAACAGAGTGTAGTGCGACATTCTTCAAAGAACACTATTCTTCAATCAACTCATCGGATATCCAGGCATAACTACAGGTCTGATACATATACCCAGGTAAGTGTTCTAACTCGTGATGTATTACTATTGACTGCGCAGTTGAGTCTAAGTTACGAGTTAGTCACTTATCATAAACCTCGGTGAAAAGCGGACTTTTGAGTCCACACAAGTATGTACGTCAGCCATCAGTGAATGAAATATGCTGACATAACACCCCCTAGGGGTAATTTATTAACATACTATAATCTTTTTCAGCCCATTAAGAAGTGGATATGACAGCTTCTCAAGACCTTGTCTGCAGGGGCGGCTGTGTGGATGATGAGCTGTCTTACCAGCTAAGTACTCCCTATATTTAATCTAGCCTTAGCTGGTAAACCATTTCTCAACAACATATTTTATTCATTATAGAGTATATATCATGTTTCTATGTTATTAATATTGTTTATTATGTCATGTTAGACGAATTGTGAGAGATAAATAAGCCATAGAGTTTATATTAGTGTAATATTGAAGGACTATCTTGTCCTATCTCCAGACAAACTCTGCCTCTGCCACAATTCCTAACATATGTAATGACATATTTTAAATATGATTGGGCGGCTCGGAATTCACGAATGTTTGAAGCCCACAAAAGTGGAACAGACTTGATGTGGAGTGTCCCTAGTTGGAAAATATCCGTGGAGAGTATCCAGGTTAGCTTGACTCTTTGAGACGTTCTACTGAATGGCCATATGCAAAGTGAGAGTGGAGCCACCATAACTCAGGTTCACAGGAGTTAATTCACTTAGTAAGCACTGCTTGTAACGCACTTATTACGTTACATAAAAATAAATGCTGGCACCTAGGGGTTAAAAACCTGTCTAGGGGCATTTAAAAATTGAAGACTATAAACCAATCTGGGGCCAAGTTTGTTCCTTCACAAAAAAGTGTTAATTAAATGGTCAATACTTATATTTATTACAAGGAAGGACAAAAAACTAAATGTAAAAAAAAATAACTATGTTAATAGTAAATATACATATACAACCTAATCTCTACATATTACACTAACTCACTAGCACAGTGGTATGAGCTAACACACATATAAACAGTGGGGTTCTGGCACCCCCTCCTTCTACTTGGCCTCTTAGCCTGCAGGCAAAACATTATTATAAGAACTTACCCAAAATCAGCCCCCCAACTTGCGTCTTATGACGTCTTGCTCCAGCTGCGGCTCTTCCAGTACTACGACATACACACCTCTTCTGCTCCTGTCCTGTCCCGGCAACTCTTCAGGACTAAAACGTGTCAGGTTTCAGAACAAAACCCATAAACTGGCATATGTGAAACATTTTTTATACACGTTTTCTACAATACCCTGCATAATACTGTTATTATCTACCTTAGGATTTGGCCTTTTCCCTCTTATTACTCATGTACTTAATTATACCAGCTTTCCCCATCAATAACATCAGTGGCTAATTAATTGAGTTGACTAAGATAATAATCCATTGCCTGGCATAGAGGCAAATGAGCTTCTGTCCTATGGAACTGCCTCAACCGTTGTTTCTCTGGCTGCCAGGTGATATTTCGTAACACTGAGATGAGATCCTGATGTTGATGCAACCAATCCTCTAGCTTTCTCTGCCTGACTTCTCACCTCACTCACTAACACCAGAAGAAGGAGCACACGTGCTCCTCTAACCTTTGCACCCTGGTGAGCTGCCAGCTACACTATTACTTTAAATCTCATTTCCTAATATTACGCCCTAATGTTAATATTTTAGACTACTTTAATGATCCTAATATTATTTAATAATGATCCAAGCCTCTCTAAATTTTTCCTAAGGCCTAATTCCATCACAATAGTATGACTGATTTAAGGTTTTAAGGTTCTCCTAGTGGTCCTGTCAAGAAGATTAAGGGTACTGTACAAACCTAGACATGCAATGTAAATAAGTCATGGTGGGTATTTTAGGGACTCCACGAATTTCAACGGATATACTGGGTTGTGATAATGTGGGTCCGAGGCCCAAAGGACAAGCAGGCTAGTTCACCAAGCAGTTATCAGAGAAGCTTGGCCTCTGGTCGGGTTGTGGTGGTAGAAGAACCAGTGAATTTATTGCAGCTTAACCACGTCACCATGTATCACGATTACACTGTTCCTACTCTAACCAGTGTCATCCCAGCTAATACAACCATCCAAGTTTTCCACTGCGGCCTCTCTCTACTTTACTATCATCACCAACACCTCCACTATCACTACTACTATACATCACAACCACCCACCACCACTCTGTTATACCACCAGCAACCATCGCTCCTCTTGGTTTACAGTAACGAGTGTTTGTGTTCCATGCCTGCAGAATCACGCTGCCTGGGAGATTCCATGAGCTCAACATCCACTATGGGGTCTTCCTGGGTGGAATGGGGGACTTCAATGAAGTCTTCTTAGGTCTGCTGGATGACTTCCGCGGCTGTATGGATCAGGTGAGCAGATCGCCCTCTTTTTAACATAGTAAACAGGTTAATAACTAATGATCAAACTGTTATTGGACAATAACCAATCTTATAGTGTGTGGTTAAAAAGAATGCAGTTTATTATAAGATTTTTAACATTTTACTCTACAGTTTAATAAATTCTAAAAAGCTTTGTTAAGACTAGTACATGAATTTTTCGAATTTGTTCCTGAAATTGTATACAATAGTTCCTTCATTGGAATATAAAGTTTGCAATGTTGCAGAAAAAGGAGGAATTCCAAGTAAATATGAATGAGGGTGGAGGTGATAGGCATACCAATCCCCAGTGCTTAGTGCACCATGCCAGAAAGAATGAATATTAAAGCATTAGAAGACAGCTAGCCCACAAGCACTGATATTGTAGTAAAAACCTGACAACCTTAACGATAGTGACATGACAATTGTCAAAGATTCGATCATACTTCGGTATGCTGTATATCTGGTAACTGTCTTGGGAATTTTTTCATCTAGAAAATGTGTCCACAGCCGAATCATTTAAAGGGGAGACATCTGTAGCTTATCCAAAAGGCAGGCGACCATGGTTTATCTATCCCACAAGATTCTGAGGCAGACACAGGTCTAACCATCAAAACCAGGCCCTAATTCCTTGGTGTGGCACTACAACACTTAAGACATTCCATGGCGTTCATATAGGAGTCCAGTTTTAGGCTATGCACAATAGCCTCTACTATTAATGAGTATAATTTGAATAAGCCACCACTATTATCATATGAGCATTTATCACTATGAGCATTTATCATGCTATATAATTGCTGATTCTACAATATTCCTTTCACGCCAAGTGGAACAAAGAACAGTGACTCTGGCTTCCAGCCAGTTTGTTGGGTTTTTACAGTCTCTAAGGTGGCTAAAAATCACATTTGATTCCTGGGCATTGCATTTATTTGTATTGTGATATCCTAACATCTAGAGGTTTGCCAGTCTGTCCCATATAAGTTGCACCAATTACGACCAATTCAGAACACACTACCAATACATTTTTTTAACAGTACATGAATTCTTAAAAACTACTTGTATGTTAAATATTTTAGGAGTATTCAGCAGGACAGATAAATTTTCATTGTATGGGAGAGCCAACTTCATCTTAATCTGACGTCTTACCCTTGGTTCAATCTTATGATAAGTTTTTTTACCTGCCAGCAACGCTCATTCCATGAACTCCTTAGGGTACCGCAGCTTCGTGGAAGTATCAGATATTTTCCTAATTTCTTCACTGAGAAAATCTGGGCTACATACTCGGTAAACTTTCAGAAACTTGGTGAGAAAGACACTCCTTTTATCTTGCCTCATGGTTGGAACAATAGTGGATGTATGAGCACCCATTAGTGGAATTCCTATATGCTGTAAACTTAAACTTCCTGTCAACCCAGTGTATCAACATATCTATGGATATAAATCAAGTCTCTAGACAAGGAACAGGCCAAGCAAATAGAGGAAAATGCAAGCACAAGAGGGCAGTTTTTAATAACCCATATATGCCTATCACCATGTATGTCAGGCCCATATTGAAGTATGCAGCACCAGTTACGGATTTTATTAGGGAAATGCTACAAGCTAAGTCAAAGAGTAAATAATGGACTGTAATGGGACTTATCTTTTGAAAGACAGCTCTCACCTACACAGCCATCCTTGTAGGCGATGTCTTGAGAAGCTGTTGTATGCACTTCCTAAGGGCTGTGTGAAGAAAATGTTGTACAAGTATAAGTGTTCAGTGGTCAGTCGTCACGTGAGGTCACAGACCCTTAGCTGCTTTGGGGATTAGCGTGGACGGTTACAAAGCATGGCTTGCTTCTGCAGTGTTTTAAAAATTGAGGTTGGAGAGTTGAAGGAGGAGGTCTTGCTTCTCCAGGAGGAGATTAGGAGGCTGAAGGTCCACCTCAATGGGTCTGAGAGAGAGTGTGAGGTGGCTGGAGTTGTGGGGAACGAGGCTTCTAGCAGTGAGGTGCAGTCTGTCTCTCGCTGTGAGGAGGCTGTAGGTGGGGAGGTAGCAACGGCTACCAGCAGTGAGGTGCAGTCCAGCACCTGCTACAAGTGGCGAGTGGTAACCAGTAATGGGAGGAGAATCAGAATAAGGAAAGTTAAGAGTAGGAAATCGCTTCTCTGTTCTTCAGGATGAATGTACTTCAGTGGCCAGTGAAGGTAAGGGTACTACTGCCCCTGCTAACAGAGGTAAGTGCATTCTTGTGGTTGGTGACTCTCAGGTAAGATGTATTGACCGTGCTTTTTGTAATAGGAATAAGAAGATGAGAGATAGTGTGTGCTTCCCTGGAGCTGGTGTTGGGGACATAGTTAACAGGCTGGATAATATCATGTCAGGTAATGGGAACAAGCCCATTATTTGTCTCAGTGCTGGTGGAAATGATATTGGGAAGGGTAGGAGAGAAGGGCTGCTAGGTAAGTACAGGTCAGCTATAGATTTCATTAAGTCTAAGGGAGGGGTCCCAATCATATGTAGCATCTTGCCTAGAAGGGGAGTAGGAAATGAATGGTTGTCTAGGGCAATTGGTGTAAATTGCTGGCTAGACAGATACTGCAAGGAACTTGCAATCCCATTCATTGACAACTGGAACAACTTTTATGGCAAACATGATATGTATGCAAGGGATGGGGTACATCTCTCTGGGGCTGGGGTGGTAGCACTTGCAAACTCAATTGAGAAGGTCATTGGTGAAATGCCTATTATTTTAAACTGATAGAAGATAGAGGTATGGGTGTGTGTGGGAAACAAGCAGGTTGCAACACTAGGGTTGGAATCAGTAAATGTATAAAAGGCATTCAGCATGAAGTTATAAATAAAGACAATAGATCAGGTCAGCAAACAAAGGGGAACAGCAGAGGACAGCAAGGAACTAGTTCCCTTAAGGTTTACTATACTAATAGCAGGAGTGTAAGAAATAAGATAGATGAGCTAAGATTAATTGCAAGTGCAGGAAACATAGATATTATTGCTATAACAGAGACCTGGCTCAATGTGAAAGATAGAGAGATGCCCTCTGAATGTCACCTACAAGGCTATAAATTATTCAACACTGACAGGGTCAAGAGGAAGGGTGGTGGAGTAGCGATGTATGTCAGAGACAATTTAAATTGTTGTGTTAGACAAGATATAAAAGTAGAAGCGTCAGCCACTGAATCTGTTTGGTTACAGCTTCTCGAGGGCCGAGAAAAACTAATTTTGGGTGTGATTTACAGGGCCCCAAATCTTGAAAGGGAGTGCAGTAAACTTCTATGGGACGAAATTCGTAAGGCATCTACATACGAAAATGTTGTGCTAATGGGAGATTTCAACTATAGACAGATTGACTGGAGCAATTTGACAGGAAATTTAGAGTCAGGTGACTTTCTTGATACGATCCAGGATTGTTTTTTAAAACAGTTTGTGACAGAGCCAACTAGAGGAAATAACCTCCTTGACTTGGTTCTTGCCAGTAGGGAAACACTAATTAATAATCTTGAGGTTAATGATGAGCTTGGGGAAAGTGATCACAAATCACTCAGTTTTAATATATCATGGAATTCCCTAATAATGGCAATCAAGTCTCCGTCCCTGACTTTCGCTTGGCTGATTTCATAGGACTGAAAAATTACTTAGGTGGGCTGAACTGGAATGACCTGACAAAGGGTCAGGTAGGCGGTGATGGTTGCCGATATGATGCTTTCCAGGGCATAGTTCTAGCTGCTCAGTCAAATTATGTTCCAAATTGGGAAATCAGATCAAACAAAAATGATCCTAAATGGATGAACAATAGATTAAAATATCTGATTGGTCAAAAGAGAGGCATATATAGGCAAATCAAAAGAGGAGAGGGGCAATTAAGAAATCGATATACTCAGTTAAAGAGAGAAATAAAAAAGGGAATTAGAAACGCAAAAAGAGATTATGAGGTTAAAGTTGCAGGAGAATCGAAGACTAACCCAAAAGGATTCTTTCAGGTATACAGAAGTAAGATCAGGGACAAGATAGGCCCACTCAAAAGTTCCTCGGGTGAGCTCACTGACAGTGATAAGGAAATGTGTAGAATTTTTAACACATACTTCCTCTCAGTTTTTACACAGGAGGATACCAGCGATATTCCAGTAATGATAAATTATGTAGAACAGGACGATAATAAACTGTGCACGATTAGGGTCACAAGTGACATGGTCCTTAGGTAAATAGATAAATTAAAACCTAACAAATCCCCAGGCCCTGATGAACTGTATGCAAGGGTTCTAAAGGAATGTAAAGAGGAGCTTAGCAAACCTTTGGCTAATCTTTTCAACATATCACTACAAACTGGCATGGTGCCAGATAAGTGGAAAATGGCAAATGTGATACCTATTTTCAAAACAGGTGACAGGTCCTTAGCTTCGAACTATAGACCAATAAGCCTAACCTCCATAGTGGGAAAATTTATGGAATCAATAATTGCCGAGGCAGTTCGTAGCCAACTTGAAAAGCATAAATTAATCAACGAATCTCAGCATGGTTTTACAAAGGGGCGTTCCTGCCTTACGAATTTATTAACTTTTTTCACTAAGGTATTTGAGGAGGTAGATCATGGTAATGAATATGATATTGTGTATATGGACTTCAGTAAGGCTTTTGACAGGGTCCCACATCAGAGACTATTGAGGAAAATTAAGGCACATGGAATAGGAGAAATTTTTTCCTGGATAGAGGCATGGTTGACAAATAGGCAGCAGAGAGTTTGCATAAATGGGGAGAAATCAGAGTGGGGAAGCGTCACGAGCGGTGTTCCACAGGGGTCAGTGTTGGGCCCCCTGCTGTTCACAATCTACATAAACGACATTGATGAGGGCATAAAGAGCGACATCGGCAAGTTTGCCGATGACACCAAAATAGGCCGTCGAATTCATTCTGACGAGGACATTCGAGCACTCCAGGAAGATTTGAATAGACTGATGCAGTGGTCGGAGAAGTGGCAGATGCAGTTTAATATAGACAA